GAGTGAAATATCCCAGTCACAAAAGGACAAATATTACATGATGCCACTGTTGTAGAATGGGACTGTCCTTGGGGTTGGGGAGAGACTTCCCTGTTTCTTGAGTTAGTGGGACCAACATGGCCACGCCAGACAGTAGTTTGTGTTCTTAATCTTCATCTTCAATGTTAGACAACTTTTTCAGGGGATTTTGATAAATCCTATAATTTAGTCTATGTTTGTTGTTTTTTTTTTTAATTCCTGCCAAGCAAAAGGTCCAGAGGTGTGTCCTATGTCCAAAACCACTCCCTTTCTCTACTGCGTCTGCAAGGTCCTCATGCCAACTCCAAAATTTCACCTTGAAGTTTTTATGAAATGTAATGCTAGTCTTCTTTTCCTCAATAGATTCCTGTGCTTCTGAATTTGAGCCAAGACCCTGAAGTCAGCCTTCCTGTGCAGCCACTAATGTATTCACTAGCCCTTGGTGCTTGTTTAGGAGGTAAGGATGTTTGACTGTATTTGTACGAAAGAGCAGGAAGTCCATGTTGAGTCAAAAATTAAGAGTTTGCTTGTACAAAATTGACAGTACATTAAAGAGTGCCTTCATGGGTTTCCAAGTTGTCATAATAAACTATGTAAATATTTACATTAGAACATCAAGAAATCAAAACAAAGGAAGAGATGCTGAAATAAAGAGATAAACCATTTCCAAAATGGCTGCGTAGGAAAAATCAAGGCAACGTTGTTGTTGTTGTTGTTATGTGCCATTGAGTTGCTTGCTATTCTTAGGGACCCTATGTACAACAGCCCTAATCCCTGTTCTGTCCCATGCCAATCTCACTGTCTCCAACACACCTACCCCCATTGCCTCAGACACTGAATCAATCCACCTCATAGAGGCTCTTCCCCTCCAGCACTGTCCCTCCACCCTCCCAAGCATGATACCCCTCTCCAAGAACTGATCCCACCTTGCAACGTTTGTCCAGAGTATGTTAGACAAAGCTTCAGAATCCTTGTCTCCAAGGAGCAGCCTGGTTTCACCCTTTCCAGTATGAACCTGTTGGTTTTCTTAGCAGTCCATGGTATATTCAATACTCTTCTCCAGTACCAGACCTCAAAGGCATAAATTCTCTTTCTATCTTCCCTGGTCCTTGTCTAGCTCTGTGATGCATAGCAAGTGATTGCAAAGACTATGGCCTGTATCAGGCACATCTTCGTCTCCAGAGTAACACCATTAGTCTTCAGTACTTTGGAAAGGTCCCTAACAGCAGACTTTCCCATTGCAATATGTCTTTTAATTTCCTGGCTGCTGGTGCCAAGATTGTTGACTGTGTAGCCAATCAAACTAAAGCTGTAAATAATCTCAATCTCTTCACCATCCATCCTGATGCTTCCAATTGGCCCAGTGGTGAGAATCTTTGTCTCCTTGATATTGACCCTCAATCAAAGCAAAGTATTATAATAAGAGCTGGAATCAGAGAATAAAAAGGGAATAATTTACTTGGCATTTCTCAAGCTGAAAGAACTGAAAACTGGAACCTCAAATTGAAATGCTAAGAGATGTCATGGACAAAATCTTGAATGACCTAGAAGCATCAAAAGAAGATAGAAGAAATTCACCAAGTACCATTATACCAAATAGAATTGGTTGACACTGAAAAATTTCATGAAGTACATATTCGTGAAAACCAATGGTAACCAATGGTAAAAGAAGAAGGTCAGCTTACATTGAAGACACTGGCAAAAATATATATCCCCACAATTTAGTGGTATACTAATTTACGTGTTTTAACTAGCAGATGCTACCCTGAACTTCTTACCAGTCTATGCTAGGAAATTTGGAGGACAGCTGCCTGGCCAGCTGACTAGAAGAGATCCTTATTTATTTCCATTTCCAAGAAAGATAACATAACAGATTGTAGAAATTATTGAATGATATTATTCATATAACGGAAGCAAAATAATGCTGAAGATCATCCAAGAACAGCTGTACCTTGACAGGTAACTCCCAGAAGTTCCAGCTGAGTTTGGAAGAGATCACAGCACAAGGGATATCTTTCCTAATGTCAGATGGATCCTGGCTGAAAACACAGGATACCAGAAGAATATCTTTTCTTGTTTTATTGATTATGCAAAGGCATTTGACTGTGTGGATCATAATAAACTATAGCTAACCTTGAGGAAAAATGGGAACCCCAGAACACTTAATTGTGGTCATACAAAATTTATACCTAGACGAAGAAGCTGTTGTCCAAATGAAACAAACGAATACTTCATGGCTTAAAATGAAGACGATTGTGCACCAGGACTGTATTCTTTCTCAATATCTATTCAGTCTGTATGCTGAGCAGATAATTTGTGAAGCTGGACTCTGTAAAGAGGAATATGACACCAAGGTCTGAGCAAGACTCATCAACAACCTGCATTATGTATATAATAAAACCTTTCTTGCTGAAAGGGAAAAAGACTCGAGACACTTGCTGCAAAAGATCAAAACCTGTAACCTTCAATATGGATTCCATCTCAACATCAAGAAAACAAAAGTCCTTACCACTAGGCCAATAGGCAACATCATGATATATGGAGAAAGGATTGAAACTGTCAATGATTTATTCTTGCTTGGATAGACTATCAACATGCTTGATACTAGCAGTCAGGAAATCAATGTATTGTTTTGGTGAAGTTCAGTGTCAGGAACCTCTCTAAAATACTGAAGAACTAGAAAGTCATTTTGAAGTTGACAGTGTATTTAATTCAGGCCTTAGTATTTTCAATCACTTCCTATGTATCTGAGAGGTGGATAGTGGGTAACAGAAGAACCTCTGAGTTGTGGTGTTGGATAATAGTTGCTAATATTTCATGGACTGCCAAAAGAATGAATAGATATGTGTTCAATAAAGTTCAGTCAGAGTGGTCATTGAAGGCCAGAATGGTAAAACTCCATCTCTCATACTTTGGACATGTTGCTAGGAGAGGATATTCCTTTGAAAAGGGCATACTGCTGCAAAGGTGGAGGATTAATAAAAGAGAGGAAGATCCCCAATGAATTGGGTTGACATGGTGACTACAGCAGTGTGCTCAAGTTTATCAGTGCTTTTGAGAATGTCACGGGATAGGACAGGATTCAGGTCTGTTGTTCATAGGGTTGCTATGAGATGTATCTGACCTGACTGCATTTAACATAAACAAAAACTGGAAAGAAATATTTGAGAAGCTCATTGGCAGCAGTAAAAATTAAAAAAAATCAGGTCAGGTCATGACTATCAAACACACTATCAAAAAATTTACAAATTGAATATGAAGAAAATGAAAATTAGGACTACAGTCTTTGATATAGCTTTCAGCTCAATATCAAGAAGGCAAAGATTCTCACCACCAGGCATCTATCCATGATAGATGGAGAAGAGATTGAGATGAGATTGTTAGCAGTTTGATCTTGTTTGGAACTATAATCAACACTATTGGCCTCAGTAGTCAGGAAATCAACAGATGAATTGGATTAGGAAAGTCTGCTGTCAGGGACCACTCCAGAATGCTAAAAAGCAACCATGTCAGTCTAGAGACTAAGGTCCTCCTTATCCAGGTCATGGTCTTTGCCATTACATACTATGCTTCAGAGAGCTGGACAATAACTTGCCATTACATACTATGCTTCAGAGAGCTGGACAATAACTAAGGATGACAGAAGAAGAATCAATATCTTTGGGTTGTGGTGCTGGAGAAGAGTATTAAGCATACCATGGACTGCGAAGAGAACAAACAAGTTTCTCCTAGCCAGGGAAAAAACCATGCTGCTCCCTGGAAGCAATGCTTTTAAAACTACATCTCACGTACTTCAATCACATTGCCAGGAGGGACCAGTCCTTAGAGAAGAACATTGTACTTGGAAGGGTGGAGTGTCAGTGGAGGAGAGGAAGATCCAAGATGAGATGGACTGACACAGTGACTGTGGTAATGGAGTCAGGTGTGTCAGAAATAGTGAGATTGGCTTAAGCTAGGACAGGGTTCAGAGTTGTTATTCATAGGATCACTCTGAGTCATAGATGACTCAAGAGCACATAATAAGGATTCATTTGAAAGTCAGTTACAGATATAATTACTCAGTATCCTAAACTCTTCAGAAGTACTTGTAGGAGCTTATTGTATCATGTTGTTGTTTACCTTTGAGTCAGGTCTGACACACAGTTGACCCTCCAGTGAGTTTTCAGAGGCAGTAAGTCATATGGGAGTCAGTAACCCATTATTCTCCCATAGTGCACCTGGAGGATTTGAGCTGAATGCCTTTGTAATTGAAATGCAGCTTCTTACTGCTAGGCCACCCGAATTTCTTTGTTGTATCAGGTTGTTCTTGTGTGTTATTGAGTTGGAACTGACCCATAGCTGACCCTCCAACAGGTTTTCTAAGGTAGTTAATTGTACGGGAAGAGAATGCTCATTATAGAAAATATCCACCACTGGTATGTTCACAAAGTTCTTATACATTGTGTTTCACACTATTATTCTTCATTCACATTAAGTTTCATATAATCATTAACATGCATTATGTTTTACTTTCCTATGATGACAGAAATGACCATGTGATTAAATCATGTGGGAAATGAGCAATATAAAGAAGAAAATAAATGCAGTGGACAGAACTAGGAAAACTGTTGGTAATGTCCTTGAATAGGTGAGAGGGAAAGGAATTATTTCTGCATGTGAGAAAGTCAGCCTTTTTCAGAAGCAAAGATGTTTCATTACTAGTCAGTAAAAGAAGAGTATATGTATGTGACTATAGATTGGATAAGATAGATCCAGAAAAGAATATTTTTCTCACTTGTAACATTTTATTGTTCATTATCAGGCATTGTTTATTTTTTTAAGAAAAAAAGCTATCTGTGAGCATATGTTATGAGCTATAAGAAGTCATAGAAGAAATGAGGAAGTGTGTTCAATTAGGTAACTGAGTGATTCAATAGAGTAGGAGTGGTGGCTATGATTTCAGAACATCATTAATAGCCCTCTTGAAGTAATTACGTGCATTTTAAAAGGAAACATAAGCATAGCTGTATTACATACCACTTTCCAGTTTTATGGTTGTATAGTACCAGTCACAGAACTACATATGGCCCAGCTGCCTTATATAAGACCAGACACATAATTGTGTTTAAAACCAGTTCACAAGGTTTTATGTAGGACCAACTACATGGTCAACTGCCTTCATAACTGCAAGGATGATATTTGAAGATTGAGAGATAGGAAAATTGGATTTTAGAAAGATCACCATTCTTGACAATGACTTAATTTAAATTTGGGTCTTGAGTATGAAACAGTGTCTCTGCATTTTTAAAAAAAAATCAACACTGGATTATCTTTTATTGTATTTTATTAGTTTATAGTCTTTGGTTATAATTAACGGAATTTCAACTGAAACTTACTTGATCAAGTGTACAAGAGTATGTCGTTGTTATGTGCCATCGAGTCGCTTGCAACTCATAGCGACCCTAAGTACAACAGCCCTAAACCCTGCTCTATCCTATGCCAATCTCACTGCCTCTGACACACCCATCCTGATTACCAATCACTGAATCAGTCCACGTCATAGAGGGTCTTCACCTCCTACACCATCCTTCTACCCTCCCAAGCATGATGTCCCTCTCCAAGGACCGGTCCCTCCTTACAATATATGTCCAACATATGTCAGACGAAGCCCCAGAATCCTTGCCTCCAAGGAGCAGCCTGGTGCAAGAGTATATATGTCTTTATTGATCCAATTTGATAGGAGGACTAATGGACTTTGTCCTTTTCTTTTACTCCTCTAACTTTTTGTTTTACTGAGCTGCATTTTACTAAGGCTGTTTCCTCAGCTGACAGCAATGTGATCTGTGTTATTTAGAAACACAGTTCATCCATCTTAAGAAAGAAAGTCTTTTTCTTATCGGAGCATGTTTAGGTGTCAGATAAGAACTAAACTGACTGAGGCTGGGTCATGTGTCTCTTTTCCGACACTGATTACTGTCGAGTCAAAAGAATGGGTAATATGCTTGGCTTCACCAAGTATAGTCACCATTCCTTTAAACAATCAGTGAAGATTGTTGTTATTGTTATGTGCCGTCAAGTCACCTGCAACTCATAGTGACCCTATGCACAACAGCTCTGAACTCTGCTCTATCCTGAACCAATTTCATTGTCACTGACACACCTATCCCCACCCCCTTACTGAGTCACTGAATCGATCCATCTCATTGAGGGTCTTCCTCTCTTGTGCTGACCGTCCACTCTTCCAAGAATGATGTCCCTCTCCAAGGACTGTCCTGTCCTTGCAACATGCCCAAAGTATGTCAGATGGAGCTTCAAAATCCTTGCCTTCAAGGAGCAACCTGGTTTCACACTCTCTAGGATGGACCTGTTTGTTGTCTTAGCAGTCCATGGTATATTCAATGCTCTTCTTCAGTACCACAACTCAAAGACATCAATTCTTTTCTATCATTAGTTCTTTTTCTATCAACCTTAGTCATTGTCCAGATCTCTGATGTATAGCAAGTAATTGTGAAGACCATGGCCTGGATCTGGCACACCTTATTTTCTAGACTGACGTCGTTGCTCTTCAGCACATAGAGAGATCCCTGACAGCAGATTTCCCAGTGTAACTCATCTTTGATTTCCTAGCTACTCATACAAAGAATGTTGATTGTGGAGCCAAGGGTATCTAATAGTCTGAGGGAGTGGGTACTACTCTGAGGCAGCCTTTAGGTTATTTTCCCCCTTACCTAGCCCATGTGTGCATGTTCTTCCATAGATCATGTGTGTGCTATGAAAGGTATTTCATGTCAAGAGAGTTGCCCTTTAATGAAAAATGACCAATACTTTAGTCTTGTTGTTGTGATCTGTGGTTTCCTGCTATGTGTCTGAGTCCTAAGGAAGGTGATTTTCACATGAGGTGTCCTCATGCTGAGTGTTAGGATACATTCTCTTCTGCTGTCATGGTGCCTGCTTCATTCCCCTCCAAAAGATCCTACCACCTTTCCCACAGGGATTTGCAAATCTTAGCATCTTCTCTTTTATATTTCATAGAGTAGTTTCAATCCTGTCAATAAATGAAGATGCATTTTACAAGCAAAGAGTTTGCTTTCTGGTTGTCAATAGAATGTCTTCCTTATATTTGGAAATGCACTACTTTTACTTGCATGTGAAATATGCATCGAGCCTGTGAGATTGTCAAAATATATAATAGAATACAAGAGAATAGAAAACTGACCTCAAGACAAATTGTAACTTCATTTTTATTTCAGGTAATGGGACTCTGATTGGAGCATCAGCAAATGTAGTTTGTGCAGGAATTGCTGAGCAGCATGGATATGGATTCTCCTTCATGGAATTTTTTAGGTACTTTTAAATTTATTTTAATTTCTGTTTAATTAAAATAATAACAGCAGTGATACATCCTGTTAAGCATTTAGATAAACGTGTTTTCATCTATCAGAGAAAATTGTTTGGCTGAGGTTTTCTCAAACAAAGCACATTACAGATTTATTACTGAGATTAATTTCATTACACAGCAGAGAATTTAGACATTCTAGGGAGAGAATTTGTTCATACTAGGCCAAGAAGTCAGGAAATGATTGTGGCCTTGCTGGACATATGATTTTTATGTGTCAGCTCTTGTGGAAATTCCCATGCGGCTTTGTGCCGGAGCTGTCCATCTCATTTCTCCAATGCCTAGTATGTCAATATTTATGCATTCCATTTCTTTTTTAACAATATCTAATTTTCCTACATTCATGGCTCTCACATTCCATGTTCCAATCACTAGTATCTGCTTACAACTCTTGGCACCAGCAGCCAGGAAATCAAAAAACATACTGTGATGGGAAAATCTGCTGCTAGAGACTTCTCTAAAGTACTCAAGAGCAACGGTGTCTCTTTGGAGACAAAGGTGCGCCTGATACAGGCCATGG